TATGGTACTTCTACCCTGCCCTTCTCAACCCCTGGGGGGGGGGGAGGGACTCAGGGCGGCTTACAAAAAGGCAGGATTCGATGCCTACACAAGATATACATACATACAAAACAGCAGTTAAACAATTAGCGGATTAAAATAATCAGTACATAACACATGTTCAGCGTTCCGAGTTCCATAGTTCCATTCCGTTTTGTCAATTCCTGTCCATCGTCAAGTCCTTTCTTTAGCTGCCAGAATGTCCAAATGCCTGGTCCCAAATCCAAGTTTTCAATTTTTTCCTAAAGGAAAGGGGGGATGTCATTGATCTAATTTCCCCGGGAAGTGAATTCCACAGGTGAGGGGCCACCACTGAGAAGGCCCTGCTCCTCGTCCCTGCCAATCTAACTTGTGATAGAGGCAGGGTTGAGAGCAAGGCCTCTCCAGAAGATCTTAGACTCCGAGGTGGGACGTAGAGGGAGATCCGTTCGGACAGATACACTGGGCCGGAACCGTATAGGGTTTTGTAGGTCAAAACCAGCACTTTGAATTGTGCTCGGAATTGGATCGGCAGCCAGTGGAGCTGACACAACAGGGGGGTGGTATGCTCCCTGTATGACGCTCCGGTGAGCAGTCTGGCTGCCTCCCGCTGGACTAGTTGAAGTTTCCGAACAGTCTTCAAAGGCAACCCCACGTAGAGTGCGTTGCAGTAATCTAATTGGGATGTAACAAGAGCGTGGACCACCGTGACCAGATCGGGCTTCCCAAGATTAGTGGCCCGGGAATTTGAGAAATGCTTTCTGGGGTCATGAGTAGCTGGGTTCCTGAAAAAGGTGGCTTTCCTTCAATTTTTAAAAATATAGATGTACACACATATATTGGTATTGGGAAGGAAAACATACATGGAATTCATAAGGGATAAATCATGCAAGACCAAAGGGAGCCCTGTCAGCTTTCCCTCCCTCCAAAGTCCATAAAAGTTCATAAAGAGTTGTGGGAATTCATAATAGATTCATTATGTTCCACAGCTCTACAGCCAGCTCTTTGCTGGAGAAATACAGCTCCACGGTTTGACAGCCAGCCTTCGCTGGGAATTGAAAGCCTTCTTTCCTCTTGGAAATCTACTAAAGGACTCTGTTTGGTAAGGACCACTCACAGCAGCCATAAAGGAATTTGGACTGGGTGTTGGAGCCCATGCCAGCAGAGCTTAAGCCAGATTGCCCAGGGAGGGGTCAAGGATTTCCCTTGTAGAAGGAAGAAGCAGTTGATGAAGAAAGTTGCCTGTCCCTTGTGGACAAGATTTAAGCAAGCCACCAGTTGATTCAAAGCCTTGAAGTATTTGTTTGATTTATTGAAGACTAGCTTGGGGACCTGGCGGTGTCTGGGTTATTTGAGAAAGGCATTGTGTGCCAAGGTTGGTCTTTATGAGTTATGTATGTGGCTCGCAATGGCTTCGGGAAGTTAGTGAAGCTACTGGGAGCCCCATCGTCCATGGTCCATCCACCTCCAAACAGCACCAGGATGTAGAGTGGGTCATGGGGGGTCTGTGTGCCAAGTGTGGTTTTGATCAGTCATGGGAGGAGGGTCGCAGTGATTTCGGAAAGTGAGTGAAGGTACTTCGTCCCATCATCCATGGTCCATCTTCCTCCAAACTGCACCAGGATGTAGAGTAGGTCATGAGGGCCCTGTGTGCCAAGTTTGGTCTTGATCAGTCATTGGATGAGGGTCGCAGTGCTCTCTGAAAGTGAGTCAAGGTACTGCAAGTCCCATCATCCGTGGTACCTCCTCCAAACTGCAGTAGGATGTAGAGTGGTTCATGGGGGTCTGTGTGCCAAGTTTGGTCTTGATCTGTCATTGGTGGGGACCACAGTGGTCTGTGGGAACCAAAGCGTTTGAAAGTACTACAAATCTCATAATCAGTGGTCCACTTCCCCCACACCGCACCAGGATGTAAAGGGGGTCATGGGGGTTACGTGTGCCAAGTTTGGTCCAGGTCTGTCACCTGTGCAGGTCACAATAGTCTGTGAAAGTGGCAGCCAATCAGAAAGCTGCCACATACACCACCCTCCCTCCCTCCGCATACAAACACAGACAGTGGTCCATGTTCTTGTTACATCCCGAATAGATTACTGCAACGCACTCTACGTGGGGTTGCCTTTGAAGACTGTTCGGAAACTTCAATCAGTCCAGCGGGCGGCAGCCAGATTACTCACCTGAGTGTCATACAGGGAGCATACCACCCCTCTGTTATGTCAGCTCCATTGACTGCCGATCCAGTTCTGAGCACAATTCAAAGTGCTGGTTTTGACCTACAAAACCCTATATGGTTCCAGCTCAGCGTATCTGTCCAAATGCATCTCCTTCTACGTCCCACCTCAGAGCTTAAGATCTTCTGAGGAGGCCCTGCTCTCAGCCCCACCTCTATCACAAGTGAGGTTGGTGGGGACTAGGAGCAGGGCCTTCTCGGTGGTGGCCCCTCACCTGTGGAATTCACTGGGGAAATTAGGTCATCGACATCCCTCCTCTCTTTTAGAAGGAAATTAAATACATGGATATGGGACCAGGCCTTTGGGTAATCTGGCAGATAGACAAAGGACAAGCGATGACTAGAATTGATGGATTTGACAATGTGGAATGAATTTACGGACTCTGAGCTGGCCAACATTGAGCACTGGTTTTATTGATTATGATGTAGAATTGATTGTTTTAATTACTGTTTATATATGTTTATTTTTATCTTATTGTTGTGTTGGCATCGAATTGTGCCATTTGTAAGCCGCCCTGAGTCCCCCCTCGGGGGTTGAGGAGGGCGGGGTAGAAGTGCGAGAAATAAATAAATAAATAAATTTTATTATATACATAGATTTAAGCAACAATAAAAACTTTTTAATTAAATTTTCTAAATTTTCACAAGAACCTTGTGTAGGGAAATCCAAAAGGCCTCTCAGCCGAGGCACCCCCGGCGTCCCGTTGGGCATTCAGAAAACACGTCCTGTCTACAGACTCTTTCACAGGCCCAGTGCGTGACAGCACACTAGCATTGTCCTAGAGTTAAGATTACACGGCGCTTGCAGTACTAGTTCCGGTTTCCCTTCGAATGTTCCTCTTTTTACACGAGTGGGGAAGTGCCTCACGCACAAACGAGAAAAGGAACTCTGTCCCTTTCCGTGTGCCTCTCCCTGCAACAGTTCCCACTTCACACCTAGCTCCAGCAGACAAGAGTCCTTTGTCTCACCCTGATCATTCCACAGATATATAAACCCTTTTTCCCAGTTCCAACAGACCTCACTACCTCTGAGGATGCTTGCCATAGATGCAGGCGAAACATCAGGAGAAATATGCCTCTAGACCATGGCCATACAGCCCGAAAAAAACCTACAACAACCTTGTAATTTTACTACTATTTAGAATTGTAAGGTGGTCAGTTGAAACATTCACACCTAGCTCCAGCAGACAAGAGTCCTTTGTCGCACCCTGGTCATTCCACAGATATATAAACCCAATTTTCCTAGTTCCAACAGACCGCACTATCTCTGAGGATGCTTGCTATAGATGCAGGAGAAACGTCAGGAGAGAATGCCTCTAGACCATGGCCATACAGCCCGAAAAAAACCTACAACAACCCTGTAATTTTACTACTATTTAGAATTGTAAGGTGGTCAGTTGAAACATTCACACCTAGTTCCAGCAGACAAGAGTCCTTTGTCCCACCCTGGTCATTCCACAGATATATAAACCCATTTTCCTACTTCCAACAGACCTCACTAATTGGGTTTATATATCTATGGAATGACCAGGGTGGGACAAAGGACTTTTGTCTGCTGGATCTAAGTGTGAATGTTTCAATTGACCACCTTGACTAGCATTTAATGGCTTGGAAGTGCCTGGGGGGAATCTTTTGTTGAGAGGTGATTTGATGTGCCTGATTCTTTACTCTCTGTTGTTTTGCTGTTGTGATTTTTGAGTTTTTTAATACTGGTAGCCAGATTTTGTTCATTTTTGTTCATTATCTGTGGAGTGACAAGGGTGGGACAAAGGACTTTTGTCTGCTGGAGCTAAGTGTGAATGTTGCAACTGACCACCTTGATTCGCATTTAATGGTTTTGAAGTGCCTGGGGGGAATCTTTTTTTTTTGTTCCCTCACTACCTTTGAGGATGCTTGCCATAGATGCAGGCGAAACGTCAGGAGAGAATGCCTCTAGACCATGGCCATATAGCCCGAAAAAACCTACAACAACCCAGTTCCCACTTCCCTTCCCAACTCCTCTCTTCTCTCTCTCTCTCTCTCCCCGCAGGGCGACTAAAATGATCAAGGGTCTGGAGAACAAGCCCTATGAGGAGCGGCTTAGGGAACTGGGCATGTTTAGCCTGAAGAAGAGAAGGCTGAGAGGAGATATGATAGCCATGTATAAATATGTGAGAGGAAGCCACAGGGAGGAGGGAGCAAACTTGTTTTCTGCTTCCCTGGAGACTAGGACGCGGAACAATGGCTTCAAACTACAAGAGAGGAGATTCCATCTGAACATGAGGAAGCACTTCCTGACTGTGAGAGCCGTTCAGCAGTGGAACTCTCTGCCCCGGAGTGTGGTGGAGGCTCCTTCTTTGGAAGCTTTTAAGCAGAGGCTGGATGGCCATCTGTCAGGGGTGATTTGAATGCAATGTTCCTGCTTCTTGGCAGGGGGTTGGACTGGATGGCCCATGAGGTCTCTTCCAACTCTTTGATATGATTCTATGATTCGCTCGAGAGCCGGAAGTGTGGTATCGCCGCCGCCCCTTTCCCTCGCTCTGCCTTGAGGAAAAGCGAGCGCAGACACCGGGAAACACCGGTGGGTGGATTTCCCTTTAGGATCTGGATTGAGAGGTTTGCGAAAGGGAGGGAGAAAGAGTCGTGAGGCGAGGAGGCGACGTTGTGACGTCAATGCAGGCGCAGGCGCATTCGAGCCAAAACAGCGGGTGAGGCGAGGTGAGGGAGAAAGGCGAGCGCTGTCTGGCCCCGCCCCTTCAGTGACGTTGCAGGCCTTCTGCGCAGGCGCAGTGCGAGAGAAGGCGGCGGAGAGAAGAGGGAGGGAGGGAGCGCGCGTGCAGTCGCCCAACAGGGGGCCCTCAGCGTCGTTTCCGCGGAGCCTTTTTGTCCTCCTCAGGCTTGCCGTCGCCCTCCTTGTGCTCCTCCCGCTCGCCCGCCATGGAGTGCCCGCACTTGGGAGCGAGCGTCTGCGTGTCGCCGGGAGCGGCCGCCTTTCCCCCGGGCTCGCCCTCCGCCTGGTGCTGCAGCGGTGAGGAGTGAGGGGAGAGGAGTGAGGGAGGGGGAGAGGGCGGGCAAACAGGGGCCTCTACTCGAGGGAAGGCGAGAGGGAAGGAAGCAGGCCTCGCCTTCCTTTGGGGGAACAATGGCAGCCAGGGCTCAGGCCGGAAGGGGAGCTCCCCCCTTTGTCCTCCGACTCCTCCCTTCCCCCCCCCCCACAGAGCCACCCAGCCCAACCCCATTATCCCTGCCATTACACTATTCGAGCCCTCCCGACAGAGAGCCATCCAGCTTCAAAATAATAATAGAATCTTAGGCTTGGGAGGGGCTCCCAAAGGCCATCCAGTCCAACCCCATCCAAAGAAACGCCACTCAGTCCCCCCTGACAGATAATAATAATAATAATAATAATAATAATAATAATAATAATAAAATCGACAAAGAAAAAACATGGCTGTGGCTCACAAATGGAACTTTGAAAAAGGAGACGAAGGACAGCCTCATTCTGGCAGCCCAAGAACAAGCCATTCGAACCAATGCCATCAAAGCCAGAATTGAAAAGTGGGTGAGAGATCCCAAATGTCGACTCTGCAAGGAAGCAGATGAAACAATAGATCCCATCCTCAGCTGCTGAAAGAATATCGCGCAGACAGACTCCAAGCAGAGGCACAACACCGTTGCTCAGATGATTCATTGGAACGTGTGCCACAAATACCATCTGCCTGCGACAAAGAACTGGTGGGATCACAAGCCGGAAAAAGTTACAGAGAATGAACACGTCAAGATACTCTGGGACTTCAAAATTCAGACTGACAGAGTTTTGGAGCATAAAACTCCTGACCTCACAATTGTATTAAAAAACAAAGTATGGATTGCTGATGTCACAATCCCAGGTGACAGCAGGATTGAAGAGAAACAACTGGAAAAGCTGACATGATATGAAGATTTAAAGATCAAACTGCAAAGACTCTGGCACAAACCAGTAAAGGTGTTCCCAGTGGTGATCGGCACACTAGGTGCAGTGCCTCAAGATCTTGGTCTGCACTTAAACACAATCAACGCTGACAAAATTACTACCTGCCAGCCACAGAAGGCCACCTTACTGGGATCTGCACACATTATTTGCCGATACATCACACAGTCCTAGACACTTGGACTAAACGTGTGATCCAATACAACTTTTCTGCTGTGGACTCATCTTGTGTTTCAAATAATAATAATGATAATAATAATAGAACCATAGAATCACAGGCTTGAAAGGAACCCCCCAAAGGCCACCCAGCCTAACCCCATCCTGCCAGGCAGAGACCACCAAAGCCCTCCCAACAGATGGCCGTCCATGCTTCAGGCCATCAACCCCGCTTCATAACAATAACAAAATCCTAGACTTGCAAGGGGCCCTCTAAGAGCCATCCGGTCAGGAAGAAAGACACCCATTTGATCTCACTTGACAGAGGGCCACCCAGCCCCTGATTAATATATAAACCAGTGGTTCCCAACCTTTTTTTTTTGACCAGGGTCCACTTTGACCAGGGACCACTCTCCAACATTAGTACCAAAAGGGATAGGAATCAGTTTTTGGTCAACTTTAGATTTGATTTGGGGTGCTGATTCAGAAAATTGCATTGGCTAGACCGCATCAGTTTTAGTTTCTGATACAGAACATATGCCATGATCACCAACAGGGAAGGAGTGGCAGGTGACGCGAAAGGAGCGGAAATAAAATAAAGAGGAAGGAGGCTCACGAATCAGATTTTCGTCCTCATGCCCCACTGGTGATCCGCTACCCACAGGTTAAGAACCATTGATATAAACACTGTATTTCTCCGTCTTGGCTGTAGAGTTGGGCGGGTCCCCCAGGGACCATCCAGTCCATACACCCCCTTTTGTCATAAAAGAGGACACGATCGAAACGTTCCCAACAGAGGGCCACCCAGCCTCATAGACATTAGCAGGTCTGTGAAGAAATGGGGCTTGAGAACTCTAGATTCAGAAGGGGCCCCCTTCTGCTACCATAAAGGGAAAGCACAATAAGATCCCTTCTGCCAGAAAGCCACCTAGCCTCATAGATATCATTAGTGGGTTCATGGGAGAAATAGGGCCATAGAATCATAGACTCCTAGAATTGGGAGGGGCCATTCATCCAGTCCAACCCCCTTCACCATCCAGCCCATTTCTTGCCTACCTGTCCCTTATTATTCGAAAAGCTTAGTACTAGAAGTGTTTGGGAGTTTCAGTTTCATTTGGAGCGATTTGGGAATATAGGGCAAGGTCCCTGAATTACAAACACCTGACTTGCAAAGGACTCATAGTTAAGAACAATGGGTCTGATACAACAGAAAGTGAGAGCAATTTCCCTCATCAGTAGGAAGGGAAATCCATTCCTGTAAGAGTGTTCAATCTTCCCTATGCTGTCCAAAGCTATCTATGATAAAATGCCCCTGTTCTGAACAAACCTACAGAACTGGGTTGTTGCAAGTTTTTCAGGCTGTATGGCTATGTTCCAGAAGCATTCAGAATGCTTGCCATAGATACAGGCGAAATGTCAGGAGAGCATGCTTCTGGACCATGGCCATACAGCCCGAAAAACTTACAACAACTCAGTGATTCCGGCCATGAAAACCTTCGACAAAACATTAAACCTATAGAACATCTCCTGTTCATAACTTGAGGACCAGCTGTATTTGCATCTACGTCAAGAGAGGTTTTGCAGATGGGAGTCAGGTCTTACCATGAAATTGGTTTTTCCTTTGTAGATCTCAGGCCTGTTGCCTTGAGGTAGTTTAGTGTGCCATATTCATGAATGAATTTATGCATGGAACAAAGTTTATGTAGATGAGAAAGTGGGAGGAGGGGGTCACTCTCTCAGTCAATTTTGGAGCATTTGGGGAATCGATACGATATTATCTATCTATCTATCTATCTATCATCTATCTGTCTTACCTGTCTTCTACCCTGGGCAGCTAAGAACTTGATTAAAGCCATACAAATGGAAAACGGTACCAAAACCAAAGAAAAGAAATGGAAACATTTATGAATGTTGCATGCTGTAAGTTAAGAATATTAAGATGGGTTTAAAAGGTGATGTCCATCCTCCCCCATGGAACTCCCTTTTCCATAACAATCCAAAAATCTCCTTTTTGGATTGCCTCCTTTCCTTTTTCTTCGACTTCCCGCAATGGGGCTTTCACTTCTTTCTTCCTTGTACTATTTGTTTTCTTGCCGTGAAGATCTTCAGGCCTTAGGCTTTGTTGCCTGATGTGAGCTGCTCTGTTCTTGACCTTACAGACTCAACTCAAGCTCTACTCCATATTTGGGCCTAACAAACTACCTTGCTGCATCGGGGTGTGCCCCCCAACTCATATTTCAGGTTCACTTTGGGGTTCAGTTCATTACCCCTTTATGAGACACACACAAATGCTTTAGGATTCATTCCTCTGTCCTTTTATTAAACAGCTTTCCCTTAAAAACATAACTGTGTATATTGATGTTTACAGGAAAGGTTGGGTTGCCCCATGTCTAGGGAGGAAGGTGGGATATAGAATCATAGAGTTGGAAGAGACCTCATGGGCCATCCAGTCCAACCCCATTCTGCCAAGAAGCAGGAATGTTGCATTCAAATCGCCCCTGACAGATGGCCATCCAGCTTCCAAAGAAGGAGCCTCCACCACACTCCGGGGCAGAGAGTTCCACTGCTGAACAACACTCACAGTCAGGAAGTTCTTCCTCATGTTCAGATGGAATCTCCTTTCTTGTAGTTTGAAGCCATTGTTCCATGTCCTAGTCTCCAGAAAACAAGCTTGCTCCCTCCTTCCTCTCACATATTTATACATGGCTATCATGTCTCCTCTCAGCCTTCTCTTCTTCAGGCTAAACATGCCCAGCTCCTTAAGCCGCTCCTCATAGGGCTTGTTCTCCAGACCCTTGATCATTTTAGTCGCCCTCCTCTGGACACATTCCAGCTTGTCAATATCTCTCTTGAATTATGGTGCCCAGAACTGGACACAATATTCTAGATGTGGTCTAATCAAAGCGGAATAGAGGGGTAACATTACTTCCCTAGATCTAGACACTATAATAATAGTAGTAGTAATAATAATAATACTTTATTTATACCCCGCTACCATCTCCCGCATGACTCGGTGCGGCTTACAAGAGGCCGAGCCCAAATACATCATAAAAACATAACAACAACAATACAACTATAAATAACTCATAGCAAAGCAAAACAATACAATAATGACACGACACATTTAAAAACCTGTAGCGGGCCAACTGTAAGGATTAAAATTTAAAATGCTGGGCATGTCCAAGGGAAATAGGAAAGATATTTTAGGGATAGGTGGGCGTGCAGACAGTTCTAAATCTCTTGTAAAGTGTATTTGGGACACTATGCTCCTATTGATGCAGGCCAAAATCCCATTGGCTTTTTTTGCCGTCACATAACATTGTTGGCTCTTGTTTAACTTGCTGTCCATGAGGACTCCAAGATCTTTTTCACATGTACTGCTCTCGAGCCAGGCATTGTCCCCCATTCTGTATCTTTGCATTTCGTTTTTTCTGCCTAAGTGGAGTATCTTGCATTTGTCACTGTTGAACTTCATTTTGTTAGTTTTGGCCCATCACTAATCCGTCATCCCATAAAGACATAGAAGTTAATAACAGTACTGTGTGAGTGTTCCATGCGCCGGAAGGTCTCAGGCCTTGTCTGCTTGTGTCCTAGAAGGCTAGAACACACTGGAGGGGGGATAATGTGTCATAAAGCATTTGAAAAAGAAAAGAAAGAGTCCCTACAGGAAATGCTGGTTAATGTGAATGCTCTGTGTGCACACGTGACTTTGGTCAATATTTACATAATTAAGATGCACGTTAAGGTGCAGGCGTCAGACCTTCCCCATTAGACCTTGCTTTTGTGGCTTTTGTGGCTTTTGCGGCGGCAAGGAACACAAGGCCTTTGCCATAGGTTTGCAGTGCGTTTGGGTAAACACAGGAAACTTGTTAAGGTGTCTTTTTGGGAAGATGTCTCCACAC